GCTGCATGACACGCATCCAATTGATGGCTTGCATGCCGTTCTTTGTCGAACGCGCTTCCAAAACAGAGGCTATGTTTTAGAAACATATGCGGTGTTGCAATGGTCCATGACGGGTCTAGTTTTGCAACAAAATCTTTGTTGCGGAAATTTTCTGCAACAAGACCTCAGTTGCAGAAAAAATGCAAGAAAACCCTAGTTGTAACTTTTTGTTTTGATAAAACAGCTGTTGCAAAAAAAATCGGTAACAAGACCTATGTTGCACAAATAATTTTTGCAACAAAACCTGTGTTGCAGTTCCGAAGGCACGCTCGGCTTGCTTGATGCGGCAATCCGACGGCTCAAGAGCGGGCTGATCTTTTACAAATATCAGCCGGCGTCTGCTGCGCCATCCCTGACCACGCGTACCAGCCGGGAGCCGCCACACCGTCGGGATCGAGTGCTTCTCCCCGTTCGGCACTGCCACTGCCTCGCCGTCGTCGCCGTCAATCTACACCACCACGACCTCCCCGGCCTCCCCGACCACGCCGTCGCGCTCACAGTGAGGCCCTCCGCCGATCCCCCTGACGCCGTAGGCCGCCATCACCATCGTGCCCGAACCCCTGCGTACGCGTGGGTGCGGCTGCCGCTCCTGCGTTGTTGGTGTCGCTGCTGTGCGCGCGCGCCCGCGCGTAGCCTCGCCGCGGCTTGCTGCTGCTCGCCAACCGCTGCGCCTGCTCGCTGCTTCACTGCTCTGCTTGCTGCTCCTTGTACTGCTGCTGCTGCTCCGCGGTGCCCCGGCCGCGCGCCCCTGCTGTACCTGCTGCTGTTGATCTGCGCTACTGCCGTTGTCACCGGCCTGCTGCTGCACGCTGTCGCCGGCCGCCGCCTGCTCTCCTTGCTGCGGCTGCCAAGGGCCGCCGGCGCCCGCGCTGCTCTGCTTGTGAATGCTGCTGCGCCTCACATGCCTGCAGCCACGCCACTGCCCAAATTGCTGCTATGCTGAACCTACTATTACTACTAGCCAGCCACTGTAGCTGCTACCAGTTAGCTTTTGAATTTCTACATTGACTAACCCCCTAGACAGCCCCTAATCAGTGGTTAGACAACTACTAACAGGAGTAAAAATAATATGAGTAGAAAGTATACATGACAAACTCTATTTTATCCCACTGGACCAAATCCTTTCGATGTATAGATTAAATTCTATGAAAATCGCAAAGTGGTATGTTCTGTTAACCGAAAACCGAAAAACAACTTTATTTTCATAGCTACTTTAGTGTCGTTGATGATCAAGCAAATGAACTCTAATATGGATGAAAGTGATACTAACATGTAGATTGCAGAGAAATGCTCACAATTGATATAAGGCACAAAATCATAGGATGTACATAGCAATAGCTATAGCCTCCGGAAAACAGCTAAGTGATGTTTAAAAAACTGATGAATTCTCAGACTTCGTGAAATTTCAGGCATTTTTCGGGTATTGTTAAATCTTTGAAAAATCTTAGAAAATAAACCGTATCTCGGATGAAAAAGTTTTTTGCATGAAAGTTGCTAAGAACGACGAGGCGAATCCGAACGCCCGGTCCATTCATCTGCCACACGCCCCTAGCATAGCGAACATGCAACCTTACTCCTTCGATTCGTCCGTCCGAAAATGCCGAACACCGGGGATACTTTCTCGGATGTTTTCCCCCTTCGCCGGCATGTAGCATTGTGTTAGAACACCCCTTGCATCGTGTATTGTTATGTTATGCTTTGTCATGCATCTGTTTGCTCTGTATTTTCTGTTTCTTCCCCCTCTTCTCCCCGGTAGACCCCGAGACCGCTGCTGATGCCCTTGTGATCGACTACGTTGACGACAACCCTTCTTCCCTTTCATCGAAGCTTCCAGGAAAGCCCCCCATTTGATCATCCCGATATCGCCCATTCCATTCTCTCATGCTTGCATTAGATTTTGCTACTGTAATTGATTGCTCCTATTCTGATGCATAGCCTGCTTTTGTACCTGCTGTTGTACCTTACTTGCTTATCCTAAATTGCTTAGTATAGGTTGGTTAGTGGTCCATCAGTGACCCCCACCTTATCCTTGTTGCCCTGCTTTATCATCGACGACTCGATCAACGTGATCGACGACCAGAGCCCGACACCTCACATCACATCACGCCCATTTTGTTGCCCGACTCTGCAGAACTACTATCGAGTGTAGAGGGTGGTACCTCATACATCACTCCCGATGAGATCTCTGTAGTGTAACTATTCGGTCGTGGTCGTCGAGGGTGATTCCTCCTTAACCACTTCCGATACGACTCTGTTGTGCAACCCCTCAAGTGTGAACCTCGAGGGTGGTTCTTCTTACCTTCACCTTGATGATTACATCGAGTGGAATCCACCGAGGGTGATTCCTCGGGTTTTCCCCTTGCTGTTTGGACACACGGTTACCCGGACTTTACTTGAGACCATTATTGAAGTCGGGTCGGCCCTGAGGGGTACCCGCGAGTTGATGTGAAAGTCGGGCGGGCCCGTAGAGCACCCGCGAGTTTTCCACGTGGCACGGCCGGGCAGTCTGGGCCCTTGCCGTAAGTCCACGAGACGGGGCGACGGGGTCACATTATCGTGAGTCTCTGCTCGTCTCCGCGAGCCCCCAATGCACTAATGGTTTGGGTATTTGTTCTGAGTTGGCCTCTGGCCTTTACGCACTAACCACCACGCGAGAATAGTTATGGGCCTCGACGTCGCGGTATCAGCCGAAGCTTTGTCAGACGTCCAGTTCATCAGTGCGGCACAGCTGGGCCGGCACCATCCTGTAGTGGTGGAGCCTGGTCCGCCCTGCTCGCAACGACCCGGAGTGCAACGGGCGATGGGCCCAGACCCCGGAGTGCTTAGGAGGTAGAGCGGTGGGGACCTCTCTACTGAGCCTAGGTGGGCTACGACGTGTTGATCTTCCGAGGCCGGGCATGACCAAGGAAAGTGTGTCCGGCCAGAGTAATCAAGCGTGTTGGAAAACATGGTGCGCCCCTGCAGGGAAGTTATATATTCGAATACCGTGTCCACGGTAATGGACGTTCAGATTTATATCCTGATCTTATATAACTAGAAATGGATACTTGAGATATGTGATGGATATGTGGCTCCGAGATTGCTTTCCCGCAGGGAGTCGGGGAAGGATCTCTGGGCGTTGTTTCTACAACATGATTGTTAAATAAAAATGCTATTCTTTACTCTCCTACATGCTGCAATATGCTCGGAGCTGCTTGAAGATGCTAGTCTTCGATAGGCTAGGTCTCCCCCTCTATTCTGGCATTCTGCAGTTCAGTCCACAGTTACAACCCTTTTATTTGATACCAATGCATACTTAGTATAGATCTGATGCTTGCGAGTACTTTGGATGAGTACTCATGGTTGCTTTGCTACCCCCTTTTTTCCTCCTTCTATCTTCTTTCCGGTTGATGCAACCAGATGGTGGATCCCTGGAGCCAGATGCCACCGCCGACGGATACTACTATATGGAGACTGCCGACGACCAGGAGTAGTTAGGAGGTCCCAGGCAGGAGGCCTTGCCTCTTCGATTGTGTTGCTTTTGTGCTAGCCTTCTTAAGGCATTCTTGTTTAACTTATGTTTGTACTCAGATATTGTTGCTTCCGCTGACTCTTGTGTATCGAGCTTTTGTATTCAAGCCCTCGAGGCCACTGGCTTGTAATATAAAGCTTGTATTATTTTAATTTGTGTCTAGAGTTGTGTTGTGATATCTTCCCGTGAGTCTCTGATCTTGATCGTACACATTTACGTGTATGATTAGTGTACGGTCGAATTGGCGGCGTCAACAGGCGGCGAAAGAAAAGATGAGGGATGGAATTGGGACAACGAAGGCCTCCCTCGCCGGCAAACGACGACTGTCGGAGGGGCCAGCGGCGAGCACGGGCGAGCACCCTACCTGGCCATGTAGTCCGTCTGCAGCAAGTGCTGAGTTGCAGAAGTGATTCTGAAACAGGGGTGGAGTTGCAAGAATGTGAAGTAGATGAGGGTGGCTCCTGACCGTCCGATCAAAACAGAACGAACGCCCGCGGAGGCGGTTGACGCGCACCAAAAGATCAGCCGGGTGAATACAAATGTTTTAAATCGTGTGAAAAGACAATCTTTTTAAAAGACCCGCCACCTAGCGAGCCGTCCGATCTAGGTTGTCTTTGCAACAACGATATTGTTTCGGAAACAAGGGTGACTATTGTAACAAGGGCTTTCTTTCAAAAACACATCGGTGATTATTGCAACAAGAGCTTTATTTCAGGAACATTGATGATGTTGCAAAAAGCATATCTGTGTGTGGGTCCCTTCTCTGCAACAAGAACTTTGTTTCAGAAATAACTATTGTAACAATGGCTTTGTTTCAGAAGAAAAAAAACGCCGCGCAGGGCCGGGACGGATCAGCAGGGAGGGCGGTCGGCTGCCCTGCCGACGACAAGTGAGGCGGCGAAAGAAAATATGAGGGATGGAATTGGGACAACGAAGGCCTCCCTCGCCGGCGAACGACGGCTGTTGGAGGGGCCAGCGGCGGGCACGAGCGAGCACCCTAGCTGACCATGTAGTCCGTCTGCAGCAAGTGCTGAGTTGTAGAAGTGATTCTGAAACAAGGGTGGAGTTGTAAGAATGTGAAGTAGATAAGGGTGGCTCCTGACCGTCCGATCAAAACAGATTGAACGCCCACGGAGGCGGTTGACGCGCACCGAAAGATTAGCCGGGTGAATACAAACGTTTCCCCAAAAACAGATTTCAACCCATTTTTTGACCAAATTATGGCAAAAGACGTCATCGGCTCATCGCCCTTCTTCAGTCCTCCCGTCCACTTCAGTACAGACGACGAGCAACGAGGGCACAGAACCTCAGCCACATAAACTGCTCCGTCAATACTCATCTGCAGCCACTTCTGGTATCCTAGGACAAACCCTCTCTGTTCCAACACGAAGCGTCTCGCCGCCTCGGGAGGTTCGCCGGCCAGCGGCGAGAAGGAAGCGAGGCAGCGGCCATGGCTCGCCTTTCGCGGCTCTACCTCCTCGCCTACAACTCCCTGCAGGCCATCGGATGGTATCCAAACCACCTCCCAGCATCAGCAACAGCAACAGTTGAATTCCCTATTCGCTTGAACTAACTAATTTATCTCCCGGTCCCCTTCCTCGTCCAACTTCAGGTCCGTCGCCCTGCTCCGTCTCCTCCCCTGCCTCGCCCCTCCCGTCTCCGTCCGCCCCGCGTACGCCGCCGCCGGCGACCTCATATGTGCGTGCGCCCTCCCGCCTCCCCTTAATTTCTATTCTCATCTGAATTCTGAATTTCGTGTGGTGTGGACTGATAACTTCTTCTCCACATTTTCTTGCCGTCTCTGTAGGCTTTCTGCAGACCTGCGCGGTTCTTGAGACCGTCCATGCCGCCGTCGGTGGGAGGATGAAACTGCTAGCTAGACTTAATTTCGTCTTCTGCTGGATTTTCCCCCGTGTTGGCGATGTGAATTGACTCTGCATCGTTGGCCCTTTTGGTTGTCCAGGATTGGTACCCACCTCGCCGTTTCTTGTTTTCCTGCAATGGGGAGGGAGGACACACTTCATCCTCGCCCTTCTCCGGCAAACCCCTGAGGTTAAATGAATGCAGGAACCAACTGCCTTAACAAGTTTCTTCACTCTTCCTTCCTACACTTTAGTTCTGTAGAGTTTGGCTGATAAGTTCAGTCTGCTATTGCAAATGCAGGTTCAGGGCAGTCCCTCTGTGTTAATAACGTTTATGGCTTGGAGCATATCTGAGGTGTGGCAGAATCACTTCTCGTTTTCTCACTTTTTCATGAGTTGTCTTATTGTGACCAAGTCACCAGTAACCACACCAATGGAGAGCGGCATAACTTTGCTACTCTCTTATGTTTGTGATCCACTTGATGGCTATGTTAAGATGCATTGCGCTGATATAATGAGTTACTGCTCTGAAAGCCTGTTTTAATATACAGTACAGCTTTGATTCTTCTCTGAACCCATATATCTGTTGCTAGGCTAATTTGAATTCGTATCATGTTTGTGGAATCAATTCGTATCATGTTCTGTTCATAAAGTTTTTCTTGATGTATTTACCTGATAATGTTCGGTTTTTAAGAGAAAATAGACCGGCAGTTACCATTTGAGGAAACACGGATGAACAAACATAGTACTATGTGGTATCTTTAAGAATAATTAGCGGTAGAAAAATGTCCCTTATTTAGAATCTTCACAAGATTTGTAAGGTCCACCTTTTAGTTGAAGTTTTTTGGACCATACTAAATACATTGTTGTCATTGTGCAGGTCATTCGATACTCTCACTATGCTCTGACTACGTTAAAAGTTTGTCCAGCATGGCTGACTTACCTCAGGTTCCATCCTTGACAGAGTTGATATCGACATGCATATTTCATTTTAATTACATATGCTGCCCAATCATATGAGTCATTGTTGGCCGCGGACACGTAAAAGTTGAACTCATAGGCTAAACTCAGCTGATTGGCATTAGACCTCTACTGTCTTCTGAAAGAACTACCTAGGATTTGCAATTATAAAATTGAAAAAACTACTGTAAAATGGCCATCCTGTGTGAAGATTTTTGATTTACATTTTTTTTTGCTGCACTGAGGTTTTTAGTCAGTACACCTCAATGCTGGTATTAAACTGCTTTCTTCTGCTTTGGGAAAACCTAATCTCAAATAACTACTGCCTGTAGGTACACTGCTTTTATCCCGTTGTATTCTATCGGGGTAGGGCCAGGAGAAAGTAAGCTGAGAAACTCTTTCGCGCTGCAGTGTGCCTACAAAGACACTTTTCCTTAATCTTGTAATCCACTGTTGTGCTCTACTCTCCTTGCCATGTCTGCATGCAATGTGGACTATGTACCAAGCTCTTCCATTTGTAAAGGAGAGGGACCTCTACTCAGGCTTCTTTGCAAAGTTCTCCATGAGCTACCATTCTTTTCTGGTGGTACGTCCGTGTCGAATCAACGAGACTGAATACACCCTGCATCCCTTCTGCTTTTCTGTTTTATCATAATGTTCACTTGATCACTTACCGACAAACTTGCGGTGACAGGGTGTGCTGCTGTGCTATCCACTGCTGTGGCTGAAGCTGTACCTGCATGTGTTCAAGCAGCGCAAGTCCAAGCTGGGAAAGGTGGACAAGAAGAAACGGGCATGAGGCAAGCAGATTTTTGGGAGGGTATTGCAGCTGAAGCAGTTGCGGCGCTTGGCTGGGTTGAACAACAACTTACTATACTGCCAGCAGATTACTGTGGCTGTCTACCTTTGGAACAACAACTTATTATACAACTAGCAGAGTACTAATCTCAAATATTTTTGAGAGTAATTCAGTTTGCCCATTTTGGAGGTTATGTGCACTGAGAGCAAATAGGTGTGTACTTCTTTTCTATGAGAAAACGGTTGGACAGTAGATCAGGCCTTATGAGAAAGGCGAGGAAGGCCCATAGCTGCCTTTTGTTTTTTGTACTTCAATTTGATATAGTGAATTTCCATCATTGCACATGCAGAAATTACTTCTACAGTAGAAGGAAATTTGCAAAACAAGGCATAGTCGTTAAAACAGCTAGAGAAACTCAAAGAGCTCGATCCTAACACGTTTTATTCATTGTGTTCATTTTGTGAAGAAAAGAACTAAAGTAGTGGTCACTTCTTGTTTCAGAACAAACACACTATGGAGAACCATTTTAGTAAAAAATAATAATTGATGTTAGTTCTGTCCATTTTTTTTCACCTTCTTTTTTCATGAATGTGATAAAAGAAAATGTAATACAAGTGGGTGAATTACCTCTAATTTAAAATTACCTGAATTTATCAAATGTTTATTCATTTAGTGTTATTGATAAATTTCCAATCCTTCTTTCATTTCATCAAAATGGATGGGCACGGCAACACTAGTCTTTATGTTTTCGTGAACCAAATGATATCTATTTCGCTATAAAATTTGAGATACATGTCATCTCATTTTCCATCGTATCTTCATTCTCACCATGATATACATATCTTATGAACAACGGAGGCCTTAGAATTAATTTGAAGCAAAGGGGCCTTAAACGAAGAAGCCGGCCTCGACATATGTTCCTTTACGCACACGCAACCCAAGTGCTCAACAAACAAATCAACACACATTCACACATGGTTCCTGCAGTTCCGTTTTAAGATAATGAGCACAGTACTAGGCTTTGCCAGAAGGCTCGTGACCAAAGCACTTTGTAGCACAAGAATCTAAAAACTTCTTCAGTGATGCACCACACTCCTTGTTTAACAAATCAAACCTCCTGCAAAGCTCACATGTTTGCACATCCCCTACCCGTTGCTTTTAGAATGAACGACACACAGAGGTCAGGCGGTGGCTCCATACTGTATAGAAAGCCTCTCCGTAAACTATTTTTAATTCATCGGGCCTGCTCATCTACCTGCGAAATTTGAATCTCAGATCTGGTCTTGGCTAGACCTTGTTTCCCGAGCCAAGCCGGATTTCTTATCTTCAGATTAAAACTTTTTAATTGACCACCACCGTTTAGTTAATCTTCTTGCTGTCCGAGCGTCAAAAAAATATCCGGTCCTGGTCCTTCCCTCATTAAAGAGCCAAGCTCTTCATTCCTATCGCGGTCTCGCTCAGGCCAGTTTATTCGTCTACACAAACCTTCTTGTACTGCGGTGCTGCTTGTGCTCTTCTCTTCTTCTCCGGGGAAGTATCCTTTACTGCTGCTCCGTTTTCAGGTGCGATTTAGCAGCTTCCTGCATACGTTTCACTGCATCTGTGTTTAATTAGCACAGATCTTCATCAGTTACCAGCAACTTCCTTCTATACTACAGTATACTGTACCTAACATTAGCTCACCAGATCTTGACTGAATGCAACCACTTATCTTCATATTGTGACAACTTCTTTGTGCACATGTAGTTGAAACTTACAAAAGCTCAAGGGGGCGAATGGCAGAGGACAAGTAAGCTACGTGTTTCTCCTAGCTTATGTTTTGTGGCTTCCATTTCAAGGTTAAAAAAAACCATGTAGTAGTTCTTATCCAAGGGTATTCTCATTCTAACAAGGAGCAGTAGCATCGGGAGCAAGGTTGATGACACAAGTGGTCAGCCGCGTAAGCTATCGTACCAATTTCTGAAAGATATTACGAATGATTTCGACGAGGCTCAAATAGTTGGCCGTGGTGCATACGGTACAGTTTACAAGGTATGACTATGAACACAGTCTTTGTCTTTATAATCAACAACAACAACAACAAAGCCTTTAGTCCCAAGCAAGTTGGGGTAGGCTAGAGGTGAAACCCATAAGATCTCGCAACCAACTCATGGCTCTGGCACATGGATAGCAAGCTTCCATGCACCCATGTCCATAGCTACCTCTTCAGTGATACCCCAATCCTTCAGGTCTCTCTTAACGGACTCCTCCCATGTCAAATTCGGTCTACGCCGCCCTCTCTTGACATTCTCCGTACGCTTTAGCCATCCGCTATGCACTGGAGCTTCTGGAGGCCTGCGTTGGATATGTCCAAACCATCTCAGACGATGTTGGACAAGCTTCTCTTCAATTGGTGCTACCCCAACTCTATTTCGTATATCATCATTCCGGACTCGATCCTTCCTTGTGTGGCCACACATCCATCTCAACATACACATCTCTGCCACACCTAACTGTTGAACATGTCGCCTTTTAGTCGGCTAACACTCAGCACCATACAACATTGCGGGTCGAACCGCCGTCCTGTAGAACTTGCCTTTTAGATTTTGTGGCACTCTCTTGTCACAGAGAATGCCAGAAGCTTGGCGCCACTTCATCCATCCGGCTTTGATCCGATGGTTCACATCTTCATCAATACCCCATCCTCCTGCAGCATTGACCCCAAATACCGAAAGGTGTCCTTCTGAGGTACCACCTGACCATCAAGGCTAACCTCCTCCTCCTCACACCTAGTAGTACTGAAACCGCACATCATGTACTCGGTTTTAGTCCTACTAAGCCTAAAGCCTTTCGATTCCAAGGTTTGTCTCCATAACTCTAACTTCCTATTTACCCCCGCCCGACTATCGTCAACTAGCACCACATCATCCGCAAAGAGCATACACCATGGGATATCTCCTTGTATATCCCTTGTGACCTCATCCATCACCAATGCAAAAAGATAAGGGCTCAAAGCTGACCCCTGATGCAGTCCTATCTTAATCGGGAAGTCATCAGTGTCGACATCACTTGTTCGAACACTTGTCACAACATTATCGTACATGTCCTTGATGAGGGTAATGTACTTTGCTGGGACTTTGTGTTTCTCCAAGGCCCACCACATGACATTCCGCGGTATCTTATCATAGGCTTTCTCCAAGTCAATGAACACCATATACAAGTCCTTCTTTTGCTCCCTATATCTCTCCATAAGCTGTCGCACCAAGAAAATGGCTTCCATGGTCGACCTCCCAGGCATGAAACCAAATTGGTTTTTGGTCACGCTTGTCATTCTTCTTAAGCGGTGCTCAATGACTCTCTCCCATAGCTTCATTGTATGGCTCATCAGCTTAATTCCACGGTAATTAGTACAACTCTGAACATCCCCCTTGTTCTTGAAGATTGATACTAATATACTCCGTCTCCATTCTTCCGGCATCTTGTTTGCCCGAGAAATGAGGTTGAAAAGATTGGTTAGCCATACTATCGCTATGTCCCCGAGACCTTTCCACACCTCAATGGGGATACAATCCGGGCCCATCGCCTTGCCTTCCTTCATCCTTTTTAAAGCCTCCTTGACCTCAGACTCCTGGATTCGATGCACAAAACGCATGCTGGTCTCATCAAAAGAGTCGTCCAGTTCAATGGTAGAGCTTTCATTCTCCCCATTGAACAGCTTGTCGAAGTACTCCCGCCATCTATGCTTAATCTCCTCGTCCTTCACCAAGAGTTGGCCTGCTCCGTCCTTGATGCATTTGACTTGGCCAATATCCCTCGTCTTCCACTCTCGGATCTTGGCCATCTTATAGATGTCCCTTTCGCCTTCCTTCGTGCCTAACCATTGGTAGAGGTCCTCATACGCCCGACCCCTTGCTTCACCAACAGCTCGCTTTGCGGCCTTCTTCGCCATCTTGTACTTCTCTATGTTGTGTGCACTCCTATCCAGGTATAGGCGTCTGAAGCAATCTTTCTTCTCTTTAATCGCCTTCTGGACATCATCATTCCACCACCAGGTGTCCTTATCTTTGCTTCTCCTTCCCCTGGACACTCCAAACTCCTCTGAGGCCACCTTACGAATGCAAGTCGCCATCTTCATCCACACATTGTCCGCATCTCCTCCTTCCTCCCAAGGGCCCTCCTTAATGACCCTCTCCTTGAACGCCTGAGCTATCTCCCCCTTGAGCTTCCACCACTTAGTTCTAGCGACTTTAGCCCGCTTATCCCGCTGGACACGAATCCGAAAGCGGAAGTCAGTAACCACCAGCTTATGCTGGGGTACAACACTCTCTCCAGGTATCACCTTACAGTCTAGGCACGCACGCCTATCTTCCCTTCTCGAGAGGATGAAATCAATCTGGCTAGAGTGTTGGCCACTACTAAAAGTCACCAGATGTGATTCTCTCTTTCTAAAGAGGGTGTTGGCTACAATCATGTTGTAGGCTAGAGCAAAACTTAAGACATCTTCTCCTTCTTGATTCCTGATGCCATAGCCAAAGCCCCCAATGCGCCCCTTCAAAACCTGTGTTAGATGTACCCACGTGGCCATTGAGGTCTCCTCCTATGAAGAGCTTCTCACCAATCGGTACACTCCTAACCATGTCTTCCAGGCCTTCCCAGAACTCCCTCTTGGTGTTCTCATTGTGGCCTACTTGCGGGGCATACGCGCTGATAACATTGAGAACCAAGTCCTCAACGACCAGCTTGACCAGGATAATCCAGTCCCCACTGACGTCTACCACTCCATACTCGAGGCTCTTGTTGATCAAGATGCCTACGCCATTTCTGTTTGCAGCCGTCCCCGTGTACCATAGCTTGAAGCCGGTATCCTCCACCTCTTTCGCCTTCTGTCCTCTCCATTTGGTTTCTTGGATGCAAAGGATATCAACATCTCTCCTCACCGCTGCATCAACTAGCTTCGGTCAGAGACCCTACGTTCCAGCTACCTAAGCGAATCCTCCTAGGCTCGGCTAGCTTCCTTATCC